CAGCAGTCCCCTCCCACAGAGCTGCAAACGCTCCGCCCACCCAGACAGACTCTCGCTCAACTTCAGCAGAATTAAAACAGAGAGCCACAATAACCCAGACTGACGGCTCGATCGCCGCGGAGACCGATCTCAGCGTCACACCTTCAAGTTCTCTTCGCTTCAGCTTCCTCAGAAAAAAAAAAAAAGAGAAGTTCACATGGGGCGTCCTCTCATCTTTTAGGGAATCATAGCATTAGATTTCCTCGTGGATGAATCTCATGAAGAATGTTTTTTCCCTCTTTTCATTCATTTTAATGACAATCAAGCATATTGTTGTTTCAATTACCATAATGCAAAAAAAGATCATTTTTGTTACTGTAATATATATATATATATATATATATATATATTGCAGGGCTCAACATTAAAACTTTTATATCACGATAGAGTTAAGCAACATCACACGAACAAGAGTGCTGTTTTCCCAAATATCAGCACGATTGCAAATGTGACACTGATTTTGATACAATTCAACAAACAAGAATTTTATATTAAATTGGTTACATTTTAGTCAGTTTTTCTCTCCATTTTGCCAACAAAAATAGTTCCAAACAAAGCCACAGCTGGACCGTTGAGGGTCTCTGAGCTGATCTGTTGAGTGAACGATTCAATGACTCACTTATTTTCTCATTCTTGATTGAATCAGCTGTTTGAACGAATCGGTTGAATGAATGACTCAAGACAGTCACTTACTGCCACCTACTGGTAGGTTGGTTTCATATTTAAAAATATGATTGCATTTTTACCCAACATTTCATATTTGTATATTCAAAAATACATACGTTTAAAACATTAATCTCATAACATTATTTTGCAGTGTAAATGCATTTGTCACCTCAGAGTTTCATTAAACAGTCTGTGCATCTCAATGCTGCTTCAGATGAGAAAAAATAAGAAAGCACTGACAGAACACTGATGAGAGTATTAAGAATAAATTACATTTACACCACAAGTAATAATAATTGGACAAGTGAATGACCGATTTATGTGTCTGAAGGACAAGCACACGACGAGGTTTAATGTCGAACCGTTTTTTATTGTATATATGATTTTCATTACTGCATTACTGTAATGCAAATGAAGTTCTCACTATTCTTTAATTCTCATTAGAAAGTACAACGCAGTTACTGTAGTGGAAATGTTTTATTGTTTTATTTTGTGGATTACAGTAATGTGAAATTTGGGGGAGATGTGCTTAACGTTCACCACAATCCCAAACCTCTGAATGGTCGAAATGACTTTATTTTCTTTATGCAATATACATTTCTTCCTTCATCTTTTGATGTTGTGGTCCAGCTTGACCTGGATGTTTCTTCATGAGATTCAGCCACTGTGTAAGAATTTTCATCATGTATATGCCGTATCTTTACATCACTGAAAACAGTGCCAGTTCTCACGATAACTCTTCTACGATCAAATAAGTGTTAAACGTCTTCTTTTATAGATTGAAAGTCCGTAAATGACTAAACTTTTATATGTTTTTATGTAAAGAGAAAAAAAACATTCCTTGGCCGTTTACTTTTATTGATACAAGTGCCATTTTTAATAGCTTTTGTTGTGTAGATCTGAAGTAGTCAGCTGTGCCTGTCATCATACAAACGTCGCTGTATGAAATGATGTGCATGTATCTGTGTGTTTCAGAGAGTGTGTGTATGTGTGTGTTTCAGTGTTGACTCAGGTCTGTTCTGAAGCAATCATGTCATTTGCCATCTCCTGTGATCAGGCAGAGGGAGCCATACATCTTCAGTGTTCACATATAGCAAGCCAGCTTTCTTCCTTTTGCTTTTCATGTAACAATAATGCTCTGGATTTATTAAAATATTTTGAAAAACCTGTCTCATGGAGTTCTTTCAGTGTTTTAGACACGCCAATGGAACAGCAGCATGCTGTTATTTTTGCATGCATTCACCAACATGTGCAACAGAACCAGTGTCCAACTTGATCTGTTTTTACTGGTTTTATCCACTGTGTAATGAACTCATTTGAACACACTGCCAAGAGCTCTGATATTTACATACGACAGCGTGGCATGCCATTTGAACATGTCTGTTGTTGTCTTCACTACTCTTTTTAGGAAGTATAACTTTTAGGAAGCTAGTGTCCCATCACACCCACTACTACAATTATTTATGAACATTAACTACATTAGTTAACATGAACTAACAATGAAAAATATCTAAAGCACTTATTAGTCTTAGCTAATTTCAAGATTGTGAAACAAATTATTAAAATTAAAAAAGCACCTGTTTCCGCCACAGAATTAGAAAAAATGGCAACTGCAACTTTTTCAAAAAGTTTAAATCTAACAATTCTGACTTCCTTTCTCACAATTCTGAGTCACATTTCACAAAGTTTGTCTAATTGGTTTTTTTTCTGCTTCCGTGACAGAAAACAAAAAAAGCTACTGTTTTTCTCAATTTCACGTGTACCTCTCACCGTCGACTCTTCTTCAATTTCCAGTTTATATCTTGCAATTGCAAAAAAAAAATTTTTTTAAACTTTACGATCTCACAATTCCCAGGATTGAATGTTCCTAGATATAAACTCAAAATTGTGAGAAAAAAGACAAAATGTTGCAATTAACTTTTGTAGCGTTAAAGGGCTTCTATAGCAAATTCATGTTAGCTCAGGTCCATTGAATAATATTCATGAACAGAGCCAACATGAACTAAAAACTAATAGTTGTATTTTCATTAACAAATAACGTTAAAGGTTACCAATGTCACTATTTTCTTCAGAGTAGCTGTAATGTTTACTGGTTTGTTCAATAACCATATTGCCAAAATGTATGGACACTAAAAAAATCACACAATGTCTGAAAAAAATTAGTCGATAAATAGCAAAAGCACACTAAGCAAAAACATTCAATAATATAAAAAAACAATACGTTTGTTAGGTGTGAAATGATAGATTTAGTTGAAAACGACGACAAAAGGATTGTGACACTATGGTTTAGAGTTAAAGTGATTCAAACCCAGGTCACCAAAAAACAGCTGCTTCAAAGACACAGAGCACTAATTAGTAAGAACAAAAATGATCTAATTAATAAGAAATAAAGTGAGTGTTAGAAAAGCTCCAGCAGCATTTGAGATGCAGATGCAGACGGCTGCTCTAATGTGATCACATTCACACGAGTGAACAAATACTGTCTGAAGCCACTATAGACTCACAGATACTAGTCAAGTGTCTAAACTACTAGATAGTGGAAGGAAAGCTACATATAAAACACTTGCAAGACGCAGAAAAGACACTGAACGGAGAACTGACAAATCCCACAATAATCTTGTTTTATTTTTTTGGAATTAAAAGATTCAAAATCCTAATCGCCTACCATTTAGGAGCAGAACCGTGAAAGACGGTCGATCCTATACACGGAGGCAGAGCACATGAAGTGTTTCAAACATCTCAACCTTCAGATTTCCATCACTGATCTATCATCAGCACAAATAAGGCTGCTTAGAAAATGTTCCTAAAGCTATACGTTCATTTCTCAAAACCGGAAAACAGAATCTGGCGTTTGGTGACGAGCTCCGTTAAACTAAAATAAAAGCGTGGTAAGAAAGAGGAGTGTTTTCTCTACTCCCTTCATCTGAAGAGGAATGACATTAAAAAAAGGCTTTTACGCCACACAAGCAAGGAGAACGGTCATGCTAGCAAAACGCAAGGGATTTGATTATGTTTATTTGTGTTAAATCTCAACAAATATCAACAGTGCAGTGCAATTTTTTTTAATTACTTTTTTTTTTTTTTTTTTTGGAACAATCCTTAGTGTTAAAGTGTGTCAGGATCTTCACTTCTCTTCACACCACTGGTTCTCCTTACGCACCTGCAACAAACACAGCATTCTGGGGAGTTATTACGAAAACTGAAAAATTGTAACCATTAAAACATTTTCTTTACTTGAAAAAAATCTTTCTATTTCAGCAATAGGTCTAATTTTAACTTAGTTTATGCACTAAAACAAAACAAATTAAAAAAAATATATACACACACACACACACACGCACACTAGGGGTGCAACGCTTCTCGGTAAAAAAATCGAACCGTACGGTTCTCCACACACGGTTCGGCATACACTAGGACCGCGGTTCAACTTAAATCTGACAATGCATCTGTAATATGGTTTGTTAGAGTTCGACTAATGCATGTTTCGGTTGATGGATACAAATTCTGGCTTCCCAATACATTACAACAAGAGCGATGAGAGAGAGAAAAAAAAAAACAATACATGGACAAACCAGTCACTCTTTAATCAATGCGAGTGCTTTATGATAGAATAACTGTCATTTATGCAGTCATCACGTGTTGATAGCGCAGCTGAGACCTGAACAGCACGCGTTGCTATCTGTGTTTAAACTAAACTCATTTAAGCCTTGCCAGTTTAAATATTAAAAAGCCAGAAGACGTGAACTCGCGCGCGCAGTGAGAAGATCTGTGCAGTCGCTCTACTTTTAAAAGTAATGCATTACAATATTGCGTTACTCCATAAAAGTAACTAATTGCATTCGTGTTTTTTTCGGAAAGTAGTGCGTTACGTTACTTTTGCGTTACTTTTAGTCACCTGAGCTGGGCTTGCTTATGTTTTTTTAATAACAAAAAAAATCAAAAGTTATATTTTTGGCAACTATAAAAGGTACTCATTCCCCATTTCTCTGAACATGGGGATGTCAGTGAAAACAAAGCAACTCGCATTACTGGTTCAATAAAGTAACTCAGATATTTTGTTGTTAATTTAAAAGTAATGCATTACTTTACTAGTTACTTGAAAAACATAATCTGATTAAGTAACTTGCATTATTTGTACTTATATATATACACACACTAAAAATGACAAACAAAATTATTAAACTTTGACTAAAATAAAAATGAAAACAGATTCAAAATATGAATAAAAACTATGATAGTATCTCAATGATACTGAAGTAGCACCGGTCTGAGCGCATTAAGACCATGCGTGATGGAGGAGAGACAGGAAATGAGCACTTGTTTTACCTGGGCTTCCTCTTCCTCTGTAAAATCATTTTTGATATTGAAAGTCTTTCTGATCTCCTCTGGGGTTTTGCCTTTGATCATGTTAGCAACCGTCTTGCAAGTAACATCTAGCAAGCCTTTGATGTCCAAGTAATTTGCAGCCTAAACAAAGGGAAGAGAGATGAAAGTGAGCGTGATGAGAGCGTTTCACACGCAGCCATCGTGTGGCGGGTCAACGCACTGTTGTTCTGATGTGTGCAAACACTCAACTCACTGCAGAAGAATGAAGAGCACAAGAGACTGGTTTACAGCGGACTTTAAGAGTGTTTCACAGAGGAGCCAAGATGTGAAAAACAGAAGAGAACTTGGTTTTAAACACTTCAAAGCAATTTGACGTTGGTTTCTGAGGGTGTTTTCCCAGTGCATACTGACAGTTACATCAATATTGATAAATGTCAGAAACTGATATTTAATTGAAATCCTGCACATAATGGGAGATGTCAGAAATTCCATACATTTACAGGAAAGACCTGCTGTCTTCATTATTTAATGCATGTTTGAATAAATCTGTCAGGAAAACAAGTTTTTACTACAGCCACCGTTTAAATGTTTATATTGGGAGTACAATATTATTGACCGTTAAATAAATTGTATTAATTATGATTTTTTTTCTGTCTTCAGGTGCATCATGAATTTTTGGTTTCCGCTTTGGTCTTTGAACTTTTATAAATGTTTAACCGTGGGGTTATTTTGAAAAAACTGCAGGTCACAAGAACCAGAAGGCACATCTCTGCGTTCTTTTAGCCGAGGGCTTCATTAAATGCAGGGCGCCACATTTGTTTATCCTACAATTTCAAGCACTCAACTGGTCCTGAAAACCAACAGGCGGCATTTCGCTTTATTTTCCCCCCATGAAATCAGATCTGCGACTCCGTTCTGTAGCACACAGCACCGTTTTAACGAATGCTGGCAGTCAAAGCACAAGCATCGGGTCAGTTTTACACACCAGAATGAGTTCGAAGAGGGTGCCCTGGTCTACTTTGAGGAACTCCTGGTCCCACACGGGGATGTCATCCGTTCTTTTCTCTTTATTCTCATCGTCTTCAGGAGGAGGAGGGTCGTCTTTATGGTGGGTGCACCACTGAATCACCTGTGGACATATTAAACACACTGTAAGGCTCAGTCCCATCTAAGACGGACACATTTTGTATTTATTTTAAAACACAACCAATATGCACACAATCCACCGGTTTCACAGACAAGGCTTAAGCCTAGTCCTAGACTAAAATGTAAGTCTGAGCTGTTTCAAGTGAAAGAAACTTGCATTGACTGATCTTAAAATATATCAGTGCCTTTGTTTTGTCTCAAGACGCACACCAGTAATGTTTTTTTAAGCACGTTTATGAAAATTGCTTAAATGTCTTAATTGAACTATGATCTAATTAGAGATGCACCGATTGCAATTTTCTTGTCCAATTCCGATTTTTTGTTAGTGTGATCTGCCGATACCGATTTTTGCCGATTCCGATTTTCTTTCTAAGAACTATAATTGACAGCACATACAAACAAAAATCTACTTTTCTTCAACGCAAAGTTTTATTTTCATAAAAAAACACAAGTAAAAAGTCAGTAATAAAATAAGAACAAATAAATAAAAAAAAAAGGCGAACAACAGCACAAATAAATGCAATGGAGGAAAGAGAGCTATGAAACTACGTTTTTCAGGTTAAGTAAGTTTTTATTCAGGTAAGAAATACTACAGAAATTAAAGTAATCAAATGTAAAATAACACATCCAGTGTTATTTTAGATTAGATTTGATTACTTTAAATTCTTTAGTCTTCATTGTAAAAATTAAATACAGATTAATGCTTACCATTAAAATTATAAAACGTATTCAGTCAAGAGCAGAAAATGATTTTCTTTGTTCTCAACTATTTAACGTTCCAAAACTGACTGTGTTTAACTGGATACTCGCCAAGACGGGCATTTTGACATCATTTTGCATGTATTTGAACGTTTTAGCGCAGTTAGCCACTCATTTTGGTATTTGTGGCTCACAAGCTGTTTGAGACTGAGCGCGGATTGGGCGCTCCACTAATATAGATCAGTTCTGGTGTGCGAGCGTTTGGTATAAGCGCGAAACCTGCGGGAACGACTATAATGCGCAATACAAGCACTATTTAACCGGAGCGAATGAGTCGTGTGTGAGAGAGAAGGGGTCGTCGGAGAGAAGAGAGTGAGAATGCGCGGCTGACGTTATTGCCTGTGCCACTGGTAACAAAACGGATCGGCTCGAAATCGGAAAGAAGTGAGACTGACTGACCGATCACCGATCCGATCATGAGGAAAATCGGCAGATTCCGATCCCTGGCCAATCGATCGGTGCACCTCTAGACCTAATCCTGGCTTAGTCTAAGCCCCGTCTGTGAAACCGGGTCTATCTGTCATCTATATATATATATATATATATATAGACTTCAGAAAGATGGCAGCATCATGATGGTATTTTTACACAGAGATTGGTAGATCTATTAGTAAAATCTGCTGACTTTAGCAATCTTTGTTGCAATATTTGCCAATGGTGGCCGTTCAAAAATGGGAAAAAGCTCGTTTCAAGTTTTTTTCTCCACAGTTTACATGCCTGTAACTCAAGAAGTATTAAAGTTATCTCAATGCCCTTTCAGATTTTGGGTTTTAACAAGCTTTCCTTTTGGCATCGTCATTTTTAAGGCCCTATATGGTTCAGTTCCAGAGATGTTGGGATATAAACATGGCTCCAAGAGTAAATAGTTAAATTGTACACTTTTTTTTCAGTGGTCAAAAACCAAATGAGGGTCACTTTGCATTAAGATTTATTTTCTTTTAAAGAGGAATAACCGAAGAACAATTAACGTTGAAACTAGAAATGTATCTTGTTTACCTCTATCAAAACAATTGTCTGAGTGCCATAAATATTATTTTTCCAAAGTTTGCGTACCTGTAACTCAGGAAGTATTAAAGATATTGCATTATGATTTTAGATTCTGGTTCTTAATAAACTTTTCTTTTGGAATATTCTTTTTCCAAGGCCTTATATTGTTCATTCCCAGAGATATGGGGATCTCAATGCGGCTCCAGGTCCAGATTGTTGAAAAATACCCATTTTCAGTGGTCGAAAACCAAATGTTGATCACTTTATATACACCTGATACTTAATGCATTTAGAGAACAACGTCTGAAGAATAAATAATGCTGAAACTAGAACTGTAGCTTGTTTCCCTCTATCAAATAGTGAATGGTGACAATTGGCATATAATGCAACAATGATTGCTAAAGTCAACAGATTGACTTTGACCTCTACAAAATAGTGGGTTACTCAGTAAATATTCATCCATGACATTTAATATTTTGGCTTTCTTCATTTATGTATTTCTTTCAAAAAATATTGACAAAATCAAAAATTTGAGCCGTGGACCTCTGGTTGTTGAGTTGACACAGAATGACATGCATGCAAAGTGTTGTTATAATTATTATCTTGTGTTAAAATCAGACCTAAATACGTTTAGGGGAGTAACCCATCTATCTTTCCCAATGTACCATCTGGATATTAAATTCATGCGAAACGCCAATTAAGCATGATGGCAATTTACAAGTCTGACCTTCTTCAGGATGGCCGCATTTACATTGGGCAGAGGAACCGGATCATCATCTCCTTCATCATCCATCCCCAGATCTGAGCAGAACAGAGCTGTGATTACACACATCCCATATATATATATATATATACACATATACACACATACACACATATGACCACATCTCAATTCAGCTTACCTTCAAGCATGGTTTTTATAGTCACAGACTGCTTGGCGATTTCAACATCCACCTCAAACATCTCTCCATCAGAGCTCTGCAGTTTAATAGTCGGCATCTACACGAATAACAACACAATAACAGAAATTATTACAGAATACGAGTGTCAGTCAAGAGCTAATGACTCATGCTAGCTGTGTTAGCTCACATTCTCCAGCACTACCAACACTAACAAGACCGAGTTAAACCACAGATTGGCAAATACTGCATATAAATAAACATCTCTCCATCAGAGCTCTGCAGTTTAATAGTCGGCATCTACACGAATAACAACACAATAACAGGCACATTATTACAGAATACGAGTGTCAGTCAAGAGCTAATGACTCATGCTAGCTGTGTTAGCTCACATTCTCCAGCACTACCAACACTAACAAGACCGAGTTAAACCACAGATTGGCAAATGCTGCATATAAATAAAAGACGGCCATATAATGGAAGTGTGAAAATCAAGAAACCCGCTCCAGTCGAAGCACACAGAGCGCTACAGCGAGATTCCCTCACAAGTGCACTTCTCCAGCATGTTCATACATCGCGCTTAAAAACCTCTAAGCATCAAGACTATTACTGTCGCACAGCGTTTCATTCAACGTATTTTTCATACGAATTAAAAACAGCACAGAAACATAAAGCACGGTCTGTTTGTGATGCTAAGCTAACGTTAGCCGCGCGGCTATAGGCCTCTCATAGCAACCGCTGTATTCATCGCGTCAAGTGGGTTAAAACTAAGTAATTTCACACAATATTACGCCCGCTGCGACTCTTCGCTGTCAAAATATAGCATATGACCCGCTCATGTGGCAGATTTTGTCCCGTTCTTACCGTTACTGAGCGCGACGAAAGTATGATCCTGAACGCCAATAAGGCCAGAATGAGACTAGCGATGCATATATGTCGTTCTTTTGAACCGGTTCTTTTTAGTGAACCGGTTCATCAAATCGGACAGAATCGTTCAAAACAGTTCGCATATCGAGTCAGCAATGATACACAATTTTCTAAAGTTTCTCACTTTCAGAAATGCCTTACAGTGTCCCTACGACTCGAAATAAACCAATATCCCGGAGTATATGTTTCTCCTGTACCTCCAACAGCGCTGGAACATGCTATACAGACTGAGAGAACCGATGAGCTCGAGCAGCTGATGGGGATTGGGATGATAGAATTGACGTCATTACGTGATGACGTAAAAGAACCGTTGAACCGGTTCATTGAAACGAACTGTACGAAAGAAGCGGTTCGCGGAAAAGAACCGGACTTCCCATCACTACATTTTTTTTTTTTGAAAATCCACATCATCCACATTTCATTTCATTTAACTTCCTACCATATCGGAGACTAGAGATATTGTTGGTTTGATTGCTTCTATTGTCCTCACAGATGTATCATAGGGATGCACAATTAATCGAATTTCTAATCGTGATAACATTAACGGATGACACAATTACGTAATCGTTCAAAGGCGCAATAAAAAAGTCCACTTATTCTGCGTGCTTAAGATATGCGTGTTTTTTCTTTCTATGTTATCTAAAGGATTTTTTCCATTGTTTTAGTTTTGGTATAACATTATAATACCATGCATATTTTTACTTTTTTTTGAGTGTTTTCAGCTTATTTTCATATAAAAACGTGGCATGCATTTGCTTCAAACAAAGGTATAAAGCAAAACATCATTCAGTGTAAATTGTGATCATCATAATTAATAATCGCAATTACAGTTTCAAGGGAATAATCGACAATTATGATTTTTGTTATAATCATGCAGCACTAATGTATCCTGATATGTAATTGCAACAATGTAGCATTTTAAAAACAAATAAAATGGCATTATTGTGAATACAGGTTTAACATGTACAATTCAGTTAAATTGTTCTTTGAGAAAATTAGTTTACTCTAACTTTGTTAGAATAGTTCACACAAAACTGAAATTTTGCTGAAATGTTACTCACCCAAAGGCCATCCAAAATGTAGATGAGTTTGTTTCTTCATCAGATTTGGAGAAATGTATGCTAGTAATATGTGTGGCTCTTAATACGTGAGAATCGGTCCAGGTGATAAATTCATATTTTGAGAAAACGAAAGCGTTTTTTGACCTTGCATGCATGTAATGCAATCCTATTGTAGGAGACTCCCAAAACAATATTAGGAAATGGCATAATAGGGGCACTTTAAGATAAAGTGTTACCGTTTTTCTTCATGTATTTGTATATGTATTCTCAAATCCATCCATCAACTAGTTAAATATATTTTAATGCAACTGTATTTATTTAGAACATAAAATCAAAACAGCTGATGAAAGTGATTCATCAAGTACCACTGAAACATTTGCTATTTTCTGTTGCAATACAGATTTGTAGCTCTCTCAAACTATATTTTGGTGAAATATAGGAGAGAAAAATAGCTTTATATATATATAT